AATATTATCTTCTATATAGCTTACAATGTACACGTACATATATAAGGAACCTTATGAACTCTCGCGCTTACCGAAATATCGCAAACTGCGTCCAAATTGATCATACCTGTGTGTATTCATGAAAACCTTCTTTTTAGGTTACTCTCAGGCTGGGATAGGACGTGTAATTTGCCGAACGATTCTCAAGAGATATGTATTTCCTATTTGAGTTGGTTGGTTATTTCAATGGTTTTTCATCGTGACGAATTTCGAAATAGGATATCCAAACCAAGACTTGCTCCTCGTAAGCAGCCTTACTTCCACCCCCCTCCCCACTCGGCTAACAGGTGACGTCTAGGGAAACGTACCGTATCTCTTGGAGTCTTACAACCGTTCGGTACCACATCTCCGTTTTTCCTCGTCCTCTTTTTTCTTCCATCTTTACGGATTTTATCGCCAGAGATAACTTATCCCGGTCAGGGCACCATCTATCTTGATCGCGGCACTTACTCACTACGTTTCTACCTCCCGTTCCGATTTTTTTGCAGCCGACCATAGGGACGCCGTACAGGATTTCGTACTCCAGTGCACGGCAACGTACTTCCAGATCTGACAACATTGGGACAAAAAAATCGGTTATTTCATTTTTCTGTTTTTGTGATCGTTGACATAACTCCCTGTTTAGAGTGCACAGTCTTTCATGTGACCTGACGAAATTATTGTGTGTTGTATTGATGTGAAGCTGACAGGCGTTCCGTATGGCATCGGCTAGTCTAGTTGGCTTCAATACATCAACGAGTCCTGTAGCCAGCTCCTTTCTTAGACTCCTCTCGTTTTTCTTCCCAAGCTGCTTCTTTAGAAGCTCAACTCGCACGGCTATGTCGGCTACGCTATAAGTTTCGTTCAGCTCTTTAACCACTGCTAGTCTTATTCCCGTGGATATAGAATTCACCATTCTCACCAAAAGTGCCAAAGTCGTATTTTTATCCGAGTCCTCTTCTTGTTCACCATAGATATGGTCTTTTTCCAGGACTCCGGATAGGCCAGGCATTTGCAGCGTGGCTATGGTCAGCAGGACACGCTTTAATGTAGTTGAGAATTCATCCTTCAGCAGTTTCTTGGTTTCTTTGTGGGTTTCGTTTGTAACTCTGTTAACAATGACGTAGCAAATATCTCGACAGAACGCATGCGCAGTAATCGACTTACTATCAGTCAAAGACCGGATAATCATCGTTAAATGGCTCAGCTCTGGTTCATTGGCGAGTTCGTCATAAACAAATTTGTCTGGCAGTTTCCTTTCCATGGCATCTTTCAAAACATCAGGTTTTACTCTCTGTATGGCTCCCCTGACAACATCGACCAACTTCATATGCGTTTCTGCGCTGCTGATAAAATCTAACAACACCTGAGTCAATTCATTCTCTGCCATCTTTGCCTTGTCGAGGAGTTTTGGCACGGTTTCTAGCTCTTGTGCCAGGTTGAGCTCTTTTTGAAACAGGAAACTCAAACAACCTTCATAACTGCAAAGTAGTATTCTGAGTGCTTGGCGAAAGTGACTATCTAAACTACTGCGAACGTATTCTACAATGTGCTCTTCAAATCGATTGAAATTCCGCACGAACAAACCATCCTCGGATTTCATGTCTTCTTTAGAATGCTTTCGTAACTGCTCAATTCGTTTCGTTGAGACCCCGTGGAAGTATTTACAATTCAGCATATCACCGCCATTCGTATCAATCACTCCCTCATTTACCAATGTTTTATATACCCCTTCCATCTTTTGTTCTGGTGTCAACTCAACTAGTTGGTCGCTCGCATCGTCTAATTCGTCATCGTCTGGTTTGTTGTGCATCTCAGCCTTTGAACACTTGTCGATTTTACTGCACACATAGATAATAACGGAATTTGGACATTCTTTTGTCAGATTTTCAATATTTTTTCTATCCTGTTGAGAACAAAACAAAAAAACAAGTTATTATTATACCTGATATCGTATTATACCGTATACTTGATGTTTGAAGTTTAGATTTGATTGGGTCAGGCATGTGTGAGATATGGCTCCGGTGAATTGTATTCGTTTAATATTCATAACAATGCATGTGCATTATTGCGATAAAAGGTTTGCGTGTGTAGTTTGAACCTTATCGATGCAGGTGTGTCGAGTATACGCACCAGGAATTGCAAACAAAATGGCCACCAAAATTCGGCCATATTGAATCGGTTCATGGAATAAAAGTATGTACGAAAAATAAGGCAGCACGTAATTGCGCGAAATAAGCCATTAATTTTCTATTGGACTACCATAATATCTGTTGTGTGTTATCAGATGCGAAGTGGGAAAAAAGATTCTGTAATGCAGAATCACTATGTAGAGATCGTTATCACATGTTACCAATATACGATAAACGAGCAGTGAACATACAGCGAATTAAAACTCGAAGGGAATCGATTGCCCACTATATCTTCAACACTACTTAACTGTTAAATCCACCTGAACATGAACAATTATAATACAAATTAAATTATTATAGGCCAGTTGAGTTGATTTCCGTCGAATGAAAGGAAAAAACATTAACGTACAACCGCAATGTATAGAGTATTATCCAAACTGCGGCGTTTGAACTGCGTCAATTCATGAGCGAAGTTAAAATAAAAAGATTTGAGGACATTTTACCAATAAACACATCTATCAGATTCAAAATAACGGTTTATAGTTCACAATCAGGATGGTTAAGCTCGTCGTTCGAGTTTATTACCAACAATGGTATGTAAAACGCTCGTCATATTTGTAACCGAGTTTTCTTGCCAAATTATTTCCAGGATTCGATTTTCTTGTAAGTATCAATTCATGTATAAACCAGACCCTCTCCAGCTAAAACTTCCATTCCACTTTATTTCTCTTGATATACCTAGATAGTTGTTTATTTGTATATATATTTCACTTCTTGATTAATTACACACGTGCATTTTTAATCTGCAACTAGTAAATATGGCGGACAATGCATGATATTCCTGATAGTCACGCCGATTGGTCAAAACGAGATCACGCGGCGGTGAATAAAACTCTTTATTGAGTCGAGGTCAATAAATACAATCCAGTCAACTCGATTACTTAATTGCTTATCGCGTGCTTATTTATTTGTTATAATAACACTTATTGTTACGTCAACGTCGGTCAATAATATGTTTAACAATACATCCCGAGATGCATATATATATATATAAACGGCGTTCAAGGAATGCAATCGTTTATGTAAATGCAATATGACGATCTATGGTGCTTTGCATAAACACAAACAAAATTACGACTGATGGATCTCTGTATTAGTTGTTTGTGTGGTCCTGTGTGGTCAGCATCTATAGATGGTCTAACTAGAGAATAATTTGTTGACGGGGAAAGATGTTCAGTACATCAGAAAGTTGCCTCGGCCTACGCCGTCACAGCACTAATCTGTTCAGTGATGGATCCGACACTTAAACAATCCGTGGGAAATATCATACGACTTGAATAAAACAAACTCTTCATGCCAGACAAGTTCATTTTGGACGAATCATAAACTGAGCTTCACGTGTATGCGACTTTGTAATACATATGCATTTAAACTAGCATGTGAAAGTATTAATTATATAATTAATAGTCATTCAAGAGAAATATATTTATCAAGCCACCAACATTTTGAGGAATAGGCGTATTTTGAGATGATGTCGAAATTACAGTCTGCTCACACGGACCAATCAGATTAATGAGTTTATCATTACCACCTAATATGGAGATATACAATACGGTACTGTTTTATTGCAATTTTCACGATATATGGGATAAAACATAAATTGTGCTTACAGGACTGCATACTCCATAATTCCCATCTATAACGTATACCAATAACGGAAGCAAACGTCTTTTGTTACACATTTCGGCGACGACGTTATTCAGTTCCTTATTTTCGTTGAGCCCAGGCGTGTCAATTATTTCCAGCATGCCATCTTTGAGAAGTGGGTTTTCAATAGCGACGTCTACGGCCAAACTTACTTCAGTTTGATCTCGTCGTTCATCGTCATTGAGTACGATCCATCGTTTAATGTTATTTCGTTCATGATCGAGTGTTTCCCTTTTCCTCTCAATTCCATGCTTGTCTCGTAGCAATATAAAGGGGGTTTCTGAATACTTGAATGTGACCAACCTCGCCGTACACGGAAGTTCGCCGCGGGGAGCCACTTTCTCCCTGAGAAGCGCGTTGACTAGACTGCTTTTACCGCTGTTCAACTCCCCAAACAATACAACACATGGCGTCTGTTTAAGTGTATCTTCGAGAAATGTGACTTCATCAGCTGATAATAAAGCTTCACCCGCGTCACTACTAAGCTGACCCTTTTGTTTCAAGTCATCATAACACATGAGTGTTTCTCTGTACAAATCTCGTAGAGTCTTAGCTCTCTTGTTCAATGTGTTTCGCTCGCAAGCCATGTTGTCAAATACGCCGGGCGTTTACAGAGGAAAACTTGTCATAACATGTCCTAAGATCCAACGATCGTGGTAGCACTTTGATAATTCACCAACAATAATAAATGTGTTATTTTCACGGTATACAAGAAGTAACCGCTGTAGCGCCCCCAATGTACAGGACATACACTGTCGATATACCGCTACTAAATAAAGTTGACTCGGCATTTATACGTTTATAAGTTATAAGTCGAAATGTTGGGTATACACACCATAACGGGGATTGGACACAAACTGTTAGATTAGTTGTTTTTTGTAACCATGGAAACCAGTATTTGGGTTTTTCCACATTAATGTTATGTACGTATACGGCAGCAAATACTAGGTTAATATAAGGGGAATTCCCGTTCCCATAAACCCCGGCAAATGACAGACGATCACGAGGCTGACCTTGGCAATTTGCCAGCCCTACCTGGAATGGCTGTGCTTGCACAATAGCTTGTGTTACACACAAAGACTGACCTAGCAATATTCAATCGCGCTGATTATGTGACAAGGAACAGACATTGCTGTTTCTATTGACGTTGTATACCCTGGTATTCAAGATGGACGCCGTGTTTAAGAAACGAGATGAACGAGTCGACCGAGTTATGGGACTGGTCGAAAAGACCAAACAGCTGGAGACATCGATTCGTGACTTATTTGGTACAAGTATTTCACTGATCAATAAGAGCGAGGAACAGGGTATCAACGAAACACTCCTGTGTAAAACAATCATTGCTGTGATTGGCGAGAAGAACTGTGGCAAGAGTTCGCTCATTAACGAGATGCTGGGTTTGCAAGTTGTACCTGTCGCTGACACAACTTGCACGTCCCGAATCATATGGATCAAATATGCAAGCTCTCCCTATATGAGCCTCCAAGACCCCAAAGGTAAAGAGATTCCTGGATCCAGAAAACCGCTGTCAGGATTGGATTTCTGGAAAAACGATGCTGATAAGCGAAGGCTGAAAGAGCTGGCTATTTTAAAACAGGAAGACCGCGATAACGCTGCGTTGGTTTTCCAGACTGTGGTGATTGGACTGAATCACGAACTTCTAAGACATGGCATCGAGTTTATTGATTCCCCAGGGCGGAATGAAAACAACATGCTAAATAAAGTTGTGGACGATGTTGTCTTGAAGAAAGTGTTACCAATTCTGATCTACGTCATTGACGGGAAAATGGCATTACGACCAGGGGTGAGTGTATATAAATATTATACATTTCTGTATCAAAATATAATATATGATTAAAATAGAATATGACTATCCAATCAAATTTTCAGTGTGGGGGAGAATTATTGTTACGTTTGTGCTGATAATGTTTACCTGGGACTGTGATAAAACCGCCCATGGTTCATTAGAAATTTATACCAATTACGGGAAATTGTGACTCACAGAGTAAGAACAGAGCACGTGATAAAGTACAAAGAATTCAACCATCTGTAATTTTCAGAGAATAAGTTGTCAAATGTTGTTTCTATTTTTACAGGATCGTGCAAGTATTCAGTATTATAAAGATAGATGCCCCAGAACGAAGCTGTTTTATGTTTGTAACAAGGTAGACGTTGACGAGAAAGCAGCTGCTATGGATTCTGATTCAGATTCTGATTCTGATGAGAATGATTTAGTAAACAGACCGGAATTAATCAAAACAAAAGTACGGGACCAATTGAAAGAGCATCAAATTCTAGATGACTACTCTTTAACGCCGAAATACCATGGCCTTGCTATGAAGAAGGTGAAAGAGGCACGAACTAAATGCAAACATGCAGAGCTTAGGAACTTTGTAGAGGATTTTGAAAGTTTCAAAGTCAACTTGGCCAGAAGTTTGGACTATCATTTGAAAGAACAGCTTTCTATTGCAGTGTGTGCGATGATGAGATGTCATGGACGATGTTTCTACTGCATCTCCCAGAAACAGGAAATACTGCAAAAAGAAGAAGATGAAATGACTCGGGTACTTGGGGACGCACAGACCGCAGAACTGGATCTCTATAATCGTCTAGCATCATTTGTTGAAGCAAAAAGGGGCAAAATAAGAGAAATTATCAAAAACGAAATTGACAATGCAAAACAAGATGCCATGAAAAAAGCTCCAAAACTAGCGCTAGATAAAATAACTGCATATGAACTTTTTTTGTTACACCCCGATGTAACTGAAAGATATCCGAATGGTGTACCTAGTGGGGGAAACTTTTCCCAGATGCACACCCTCTGTCACGAACTCCGTAACATAATTGTTAACAATGTCTCCAGAAATGTTGAAGTACGGGTAGACGACTTGCTTGAAAATGAAATATGTCGAGATGTTCTGCCAAAAGTTGTGGAAACCATGGAGGCTTTAGATAATCCTACATTGAAGAGAAACCTAGAATCCATTTATCAGTTTGTTGGTAACGACAATGACTACAAAGAAGCCACTGGATCCTCTCTTACCAACTTGGTATACGCCCTGGTGACTGTAGCTAGAGAAAACTTGAGGTTTGAATTGCAGCATACATATTCCCTCTTAGCAATCATCGAGATTGCTCTACAGGAGAACAGGAAGAATCCACGTGGGTCACCAGCACGAACAGCAGTTGTCAACACATTGATTTCGCAGCTTGATGCAAATCGACTGGCTGACAGCGTGGTGGATGCATGTAAGAAAAAAATGGAGAGCTACCATACAACGTTTGAAACATCAATGAAGCAGATCGAATTCTTCAAAGAGGAGATACAGATACAGAGCAGAGAACACCTAGGCGCATCCGCGTCAAGGGTTTTATCAATGCTGGCACAATTAGAAATCGAGAACCATGGAATTAAATTTGAAGTTACAAGAGGCGAGCTAAAGAGAGGGAAATTACTGTATCGTGGCCAAAATTGCACACTGCATTTGTGTGATAAGAGCTGGAGTTTTATAAATGAAACACAGTATATCATGCGTGTAATTCAACGTATCAGTGATGAGTCATGGATGGAGAGTATCACCAGTCTATACTATGCATAGTATGTATAATATCAATTTATCAAAATATCTATATATTTTATGCGTATATCACCTGCGAATAATATAAGAATGGTTTGATTAATAACTTGAATTTTATTCTATCTTTATTTTTTTAGTAATTGCAAGCGAAGTAGCCATCTAATTGGAATATATGGATGGACTATGACAAACTCCGATGTATTACAAGTGGTGACAGAGCGGGCAGCTACCAGTTTGGATAAGGCAAACTCTGGCTTGTCCACTCACCAGAAATTGTCAGTAATGCGTGATGTTGTGTGTGGTTTAGATGCGATTCATTCCAGTGGGTTCATATATAACAACCTCGCACCCAAGCAGGTTTTGGTGAGTACTATTATCAGTGCCAAGGACAAAATAACACGTCTCCTTTGATTGGCCAAATTTTAAAATGATGAGGTTAGGTCAAGGCAAGTTCAAATTTGAAACATCATATATTACTGCTATTCCGCGTATTGATGAGTCAGACTATTTCACTAACATGCCAAGATCAGTTAAATGTCAAGGCAAAATTGGGAACAAAAATATTTTGATGTGTCAGATGTATTATGATTCAAATTTAAGGTCAAGTAGGAAATTTCAAATACCCTATCATACTGATAGGTCGAATTATTCCAATTATTTTCATTAAAACAATTGTATGTACTAGGTGCTCAACTATTTTGTTTTGATACAGTTAATGGATGACAATCAAGCGAAACTGAATATATGCAGTGGAAACTTTGAAGTTCTTCGTGGTCAGGGGCCAAACTTGGACATCGACAAAATTGCTGAGTTGATGCTATGGATGTTTGGACTCCAGGTTCCTGCCACTGCCGTGTCATCTGTTGGGCTGATTAGGCCAGCTGGGTGCAGTGAAGATGTATGGAAATTAATTCGTCGCTGCTTACCTTCACGTAAGGACATCACCATAAAAGGGATAATCGGAGAACTCAATATTTTACTTAACTAACTATTGTATATGCACCTGTCTTCATTCATGACATAATCGTTCACAGTGAAGCACTGCTATTCATGTGCAATATTTTCAGTGAATATTTCTGTCAGTAAGAGATAATTCATTTAATGAGTTCGTCAAGTAGAGAATTGCGTTGTTGCTTAATTAAAAATAATATAATACTGGATTACTTCAGAAAACATGCATATGTTAAAAAGGATGAGGTGTGTTTTCCGTTTTTTCCTCCAATATATCTCCTTTTTAAATCATGACATCATGTACTGGGGCACCACATTGTGAAAGAAAATTGTTCATTTTAGATTTCTTAGAAGGTATTATGGTATATTCTATGAACAAAATGGTACCACCGCCAATTGTCGCTTTTCTTCAATGTGTTCTAGTAAAATTGGTCACAATAAGTAAGTGTGAATATATTATCCAAGTGAATATACAAGGGACGTATATTATATTGCGGATAAATTATATGACTAATACCGAACTTAGATTAAATATGGAATCTTTAGGTATGACCCTAGAATATTTGGTGAGCATTGAATATGTGAACTAAAGTCAAGGTTCATTAAAAATATAAAACTTGTGAGGCGAATTGTATTGCACTGGTGTGTTTGATAATGTATGTATCGTTAAATTGAAATATGATCAACTCTGTTGATTTATGGAGACCTTGTACATTGTAAGTCACTAAACACGAAGTTGCGAAATTTATTTTAAATAAATACTATTGCATTCAACGCATAAATGTAAAGGATCGCCAATTTTGAATTGGTGGAAATTCCCCCCCCCCCCAAGCTCACAGTTGTTTTCAAGTGAATTGAATTAACATTTGTTAAATGTTTGCATAAAGATTGTTGTAAGGATATTAATCTATGCGTGTAGGCAGAGACAAGCTATCACTGACCTATCAGTGTAGCCGTACAAAATGTCCCCGAGGTCATTGTGTGGAAAAGCAAACCATTGTGTTTGCCTGTCTAAATAACCCCATGCAGAATTGTATCGCCATTGTACCCTTCATTCGTATTTCAAGGATTCAAAGAACACGTCGCTGAGATGAATGTGCGCCTTCGAGAATTGTAATGCTATTATTTGCCCTCCCAAAATTTTGTTTATTTAGTCGAGATGTCGTGCGTCACACGGTTACATTAGTTTAAACTTCGAATTAAATGTTTGCTATGACTTAATCATGGAACGTGCATCAACAGTTTGAACTGAAACAAGTTTGGGGCTTTGTAATAAACAAAAATAAAACATACTTTGTTTTATAAGTCAGGTATTACAAATCTGAAAATTACAACTGAGAAATGTACAGGGTTCAGACAGAATGTGTTAAACTATGTAAGGTCTATAGATATATTTATCAAGAATAAAGGACATTATCTAGCAGTTAAGAGTTTGTTTCCGCAATGTATCTTTCTTAATAATGAGATTGTTAAGGTAGAGATGCAGTTTACCTGACAGGTATTTTAATTAGTTAATTAGGAAACCAAGATGACCTCCCTTGTCCACAAAACTATATATTTTCGGAAAGCTTATTGTATGAATTTTAAAGTTTTGTTAGTATTTTATTTTATGGACACTGTAGTTTCAAATATGCACAAAAATGTGTTTTTGTGGTCAAAAGTAATTTAAAAAAATAGCTTCTAAACCATGCTTCTGTTTCCTGTCAAAATTGGTTTATGGGTACATGTGTTTACTGTGAAGAAAGCGCTGTCTTGAAAACTGTCTACCAGTTGTCAATTTTGTAGGGCAGCAGCTCAAATTTCACTACTTCAAGTTTATGCATAAATTAACACCCAGGCTAGTTGTCTGTATGATTGCTGTAACACTATTCAACTAACAACAATGCCCCGACGGCGTTTTGAAAATAACCACACTGTCAATCATTTGTGAAAATTTCAAAACAAAAGGTCAAAGCGATTAGGAGCTATTTTTTTAAAGTTCTGGAATGTGCACTAAAAAGAAGCTGAGATAATTGCTAATTTGCATAACAATTCACTCAGTAAGAGTTTGCTAATGCTCATAATTAAATTGGCTATTACAGTTTCAAATTTAAATGTATTATCGTTTTGTAAAAAGTTAAATATAGTGCATAATATGGAGATCCCGTCATTTCATTTTTTCATCATGTTTCTTTTTTATTATTTATGTACAGCTTTGCTAAATCTTGCTAAGCATTCAAAAGAGAGAATGTTTGCACCTGTTATCTATATTTTAAAATCGTCTTTTGAGTATGTTCCACTATTCACAATTCTACAAAATTTCAACAGTCTATAGCCAAGACTTTTTGGATAATAAAAAGCAAAAAAAAAAAAAAAAAATGTCACTCCCAAGTGCCCACGAACCTGCATCTCTACCTTAACTAAAAGTTCTGTCAATATATAACCTATTGACTTGACTTCTACGTATTCCTTGTTTTGGATTGGTTCATATTTGAAGTAGGGGTAAGTCCATCGATGACGTTGGTTGTAGAATAGGAGGGCGCTGTTTGATTTCTGCTGCTGATAAATGCTGTTTCTTGAAACGTTAAGGGCATATTTTATGTTAGTGTTCACCACAGAAGTGTAGTCTGTGAGAAATTAACAATTAACAATAAATTGTAGATAAATTGCAGAAACATAATAGTGTTCAAAGTGTTTCAACACCAAAACATCTCGTATGTATCCCATAATATCCAGTGTGGAATAATTAATAGTTATCAAACAAAGCTAACATGCATGCTGTGCATATTCGATTTTGCATGTGATTATTTGCATGAAACTGTACCTAGTCATTGAATACACAGTAATTTATGATGCAGTACATGTTTCAAAGTTTTTACGAGTATGCTAATCCATACAGAATCACGAGATGTCGCAAACGCTATTTAATATCCACACGCGCGCAAGCTAGTGAAGCTCGGCTGTTCGAATGAAATCACGCTTAATATCTATTTGAAATTCGAATAGTGACACACGATGGATGCTGTTTGCAAGAAAAGAGATAAACTATTTAGAAGATTAGTAGAACTGGTAAAACAAACCAAAAAATTCGAATCACCGCTTCGCGAACATTTCGGCACAAGCAGTTCACTGATCACTGGAGACGAAGAAAAGAGTATCAACGACACGCTGTCGAGTAAAACGGTCATAGCTGTGATCGGTGAGAAGAATTGTGGCAAGAGTTCACTAATTAACGAGATGCTTGGTGTGCAAGTTGTACCTGTTGCTGACATAACATGTACGTCGCGAATCATATGGATCAAATACTCGGATACTCCGTATGTTAGCCTCAACGACCAGACAGGCAAAGAGGTCCCTGGATCTAAAAGACCACTATCGGGCAATGATTTCTGGGGGGACAGAACCGGTCGCGATATGCTGAAAGAGCTAGTTATATTGAAAGAGGAAGATCGTGGTAAATCCGCTTGTGTATTTCAGACTGTGATAATCGGATTGAATCACGAACTTTTGAAATATGGCGTTGAGTTAATTGATTCCCCAGGGCGTAACGAAAACGAAACGCTGAATAAAGTGGTAAACGAAGTTATTTCGAAGAACGAGATACCAATATTAATCTATGTCATTGACGGGAAATGTTTTTTACGACCAGACGTGAGTATGAATGGATCAGAATATTTCATTTAATATGGATTATATGACTTATTCGAAATATAATTCATAAGTGTGTAGTGATTTGTAAGAAACACCAGGGGGCGCTCGCATTTTTGCATTAGGTCTGACATAACCTTATGCATTCCGTTAAATAGCGATTTATATAAATAAGCTGCAGCTGTAAGTCAAAATGACATTGTGACGGTCAAGTTATATCAGTAAAAATGCAGACAAATCTGTATTGAATAATGTTTTGAAAGCTAATTTGAGAAACAGATATTACAACACACTAGCAGCGAAGCAGTACTTTGTGACACTCTTCAACGACATTAGTAATAAATGTATAATGAATTTTGTATTTCATATTAGGATCGCAAAAACATCCAATACTTTAAAGAAAGATGTCCAAGAACAAAATTTTTTTATGTGTGTAACAAAATCGACAATGATGCAAAAGCCGCTGAAATGGATAAAGAATCTGATACAGAGGAGGGCGAGGATGAGGAAGACGGATGTAAAGATGATAAGATCATGTCAATCGCAACAAAAGTGCGTGACCAGCTGAAGGAGCATCTACTTCTTGATGATCGGTCCTATTTAGGAACATTCAATGCCTTGTCTATGAGAAAAGTGAAAGAGGCACGTACAAAAGGCAAATGTGCTAACCTCAGGAAATTCACAGAAGCATTTGAAAGTTTCAAAATCGACATGTCAAAGAGCTTAGATTCTTATTTGATGGAACAGATATCTATTGCAGTGTGCGCGCTGATGAGATGTCATGGACGATGTTTCTACTGCATCTCGCAGAAACACGAAGAATTACAAATAGAAGAGAAGGAAATGGCACGAGTTCTACAAAGTGCTCGGTCAGCAGAACTGGATATCTATCAACGTTCAACAACATTCGTGGAAGCGAAAAACGAACAATTGAAACAAATAATTGCAGTTGCAATTGACAAAGCGAGACAAGATGCGATGGAAATGGCTCCAAAACTAGTGCTCAATAAGATAACTGCCTACGAACTGTTGTTGCTACACCCTGATGTAACAGAAAAGTATCCGAATGGTGTACCAAGTGGAGGAAACTTTTCACAAATGCACACCCTCTGTCACGAACTTCGCAACATAATCGTTAACAGTGTTTCAAACAACGTTGAAGTACAAGTAGATAATTTGCTTGAAAATGAAGCGTCCTGTGATCTGCTGCCAAAAGTTGTGGAAACCATGGAGGCTTTAGATAATCCTACTTTGAAGAGAAACCTAGAATCCATTTATCAGTTTGTTGGTAACGACAATGACTACAAAGAAGCCACTGGATTCTCTCTTACCAACCTGGTATACGCGCTGGTGTCTGCAGCTAGAGAGAACTTGAGGTTTGAATTGCAGAATACCTATTCCCTCCTAGCAATCATCGAGATTGCTCTACAGGAGAAAAGGAATAATCCACGTGGGTCACCGGCACGAACAGCAGTTGTCAACATATTGATTTCGCAGCTGGATGCAAATCGACTAGCTGACAGCGTGGTGGATGCATGTAAGAATAAAATGGAGAGCTACCATACAACGTTTGAAACATCACTGAAACAGATCGAATTCTTCAAAGAGGATATACAGATACAGAGCAGAGAACACCTAGGCGCATCTGCATCAAGGGTTTTATCAATGCTGGCACAATTAGAAATCGAGAACCATGGAATTAAATTTGAAGTTACAAGAGGCGAGCTAAAGAGAGGGAAATTACTGTATCGTGGCCAAAATTGCACATTGCATTTGTGTGATAAGAGCTGGAGTTTTATAAATGAAACACAGTATATCATGCGTGTAATTCAACGTATCAGTGATGAGTCATGGATGGAGAGTATCACCAGTCTATACTATGCATAGTATGTATAATATGAATTTTTCAAAATATCTATTCCATTGTTGCTAAACTTTATGTTTATGCGTATATCACCTGGGAATAATATAAGAATGGTTTGAATAATAACTTGAATCATATTCTGTCTTTATTTTAGTAATTGCAAGCGAAGTAGCCATCTAATTGGAATATATGGATGGACTATGCCAAACCCCGATGTGTTACAAGTGGTGACGGAGCGGGCAGCTACCAGTTTGGATAAGGCAAACTCTGGCTTGTCTACTCACCAGAAATTGTCAGTGATGCGTGATGTTGTGTGTGGTTTAGATGCGATTCATTCCAGTGGCTTCATATATAACAACCTTGCAGCCAAACAGGTTTTGGTGAGTACTATTATAAGAGTCAAATACAAAATGATACGTCTCCTTTGATTGGCCAAATTTTAAAATGACGAGGTTAGGTCAAAGCTAGTTCAAATTTGAAAACGTCATATATTACTGCTAACATTCCGCGTATTGATGAGTCACACTATTTCACTATCATGCCAAGATCAGTTAAATGTCAAGGCAAAATTGGGAACAAAAATATTTTGATGTGTCAGATGTATTATGATCCAAATTTAAGGTCAAGTAGGAAATTTCAAATACCCTATCATACTGATAGGTCGAATTATTCCACTTATTTTCAGTAAAACAATTGTATGTACTAGGTGCTCAACTATTTTGTTTTGATACAGTTAATGGATGACAATCAAGCGAAACTGAATATATGCAGTGGAAACTTTGAAGTTCTTCGTGGTCAGGGGCCAAACTTGGACATCGACAAAATTGCTGAGTTGATGCTATGGATGTTTGGACTCCAGGTTCCTGCCACTGCCGTGTCAACTTTGGGGTCGATTAAGCCATATAAGTATAGTGACGGTGTATGGGAATTAATTCGTCGCTGCCAATCTCCGCGGAAGGACATCACCATAAAAGGAATCATCAAAGAACTTGATATTTTACTTAACTGACTTTTCTAAATGCATCGGAGAATGTTATTATTCAAATGTTGAAATCATACCTAATTTGCATACAGCTCTTCTTCTCACTGGCATAATCGTTCACAGTTAACCACTGCTGATCATGTGCAATATATACAGAACATATAATTTCTCTCTCATTAAGAGAATAATTCATTTATTAACTAGATCAGTTACTTAAAGCGCGGTAGTCGTCGCGCTGCGCATGTGCCATATTTGTATTGATAAACATTGATTTTCCCACAATCCAATGCGCTCTTCAAATGGAAATCACAAGTATGAGGTTTGACCTGGGCGCGAATTGCACTGATTACCGCCGACGATTCCTTCGATGCCTTCCAATAACATGAAAATTACTATCAAAGCTTGGAAACGTCTCAGTTCGTACTCGTTGATCTGCGCAACAGTCAAAGTCGCCATCTTTGTTTATATGAGACCCATATATCTCACACATGCGCAGCGTGACGACTACCGCGCTTTAAGGATATAGTAGAAGTTTCTTACTTTGAAAATATCAAATATACTTTTTTTCCACACTCTCTTATAAGAATATATAAAGCATGTATTCAACTAGAAAAAAAAACAATTGTAGCGATAGTTCAAGAGGATAATACATTTTGATGTTTTTTGTGATTTTTCACGCATCAGTATTTGGAATTAAGTAAGCAAATAACACCGAATAAACGGCAAGGTAAAGACTATGTCTAATTATAGTAAATCTTACATAAGATTTATGAGTTTAGTATTTGGGATTAGTCTACAGACACTCCCAGCTGCTCCACGACGGTGATTTCCGGCATAGGTATTCTCTGATAGCTGCTAATGAAATCTGGTAAAGATAGTTTGTATACCACTTTGATTTTAGAAAACATAACATAACTCTCGCATTTGTAAACTCGGCTATCATATTTCAAAACAACCTTGACGATGTTGTATTTCGGTTTCTTCGAAAATAATTCCTCTCTATTTGCACAGTGATCACGTGATTAGACGGTTCCATTTTTTGTTGGAATATTTATTTGAAAAATAAGCTTTATAAAAATATATAACTCGATGGGAATCAAAGAATATTTTCATCTTATGTGTGTCTGTCTTGTGTTAACATCTTATGGGTGACTGTCTTGTGTTTACATCGTATGTGTGGTTGTCTTGTGTTTACATCTTATGTGTGACTGTTTTGTGTTAACATCGTATGTGTGACTGTCTTGTGTTTACATCTTATGTGCGACTGTCTTGTGTTTACATCTTATGTGTGACTGTCTTGTGTTAACATCGTATGTGTGACTGTTTGTGTTAACATCTTATGGGTGACTGTCTTGTGTTTACATCGTATGTGTGGTTGTCTTGTGTTTACATCTTATGTGTGACTGTTTTGTGTTAACATCGTATGTGTGACTGTCTTGTGTTAACATCGTATGTGTGACTGTCTTGTGTTTACATCGTATGTGTGACTGTCTTGTGTTTACATCGTGCGTGTGACTGTCTTGTGTTGCATCGTACGT